ACTTCAAGCTGCAAAGAGGCTGAGAAACATGTTTCCACTTGGGTAGCCATGAGGCCAGCTAAAACTGGGAAATATTATTGCTAGAAGGAAGATAATAGAAATAAATAAATTGTGGAAAAAAAGGAAAGAATGAATATTGGTGAAAAGTGAGAATTCTCTGCCACAGTGTGAAAGGAGTTTCAGTATTTGGACATCAATGTATGTGGCATATTAAGATAATTAGTAAATTTATTGGGTTGTATTTGCATCATATTTACATTTAGTCAGGTAGAAAGTCAAAGAGACCAGTAGGGAAGCCCTGTGAGTCATTCAGTCATGCATTTTTCCAACAGGCCTCAGGATTATTATATAATGTTTCATTGAGATGACTTTAGCTAGTTTGGAGTAGGTGTATAATTATCTTGGCATCTTTTCTCTCTGTCAGGGAACCAAGCATACATTAGGCAAGTTCCCTTGTCTGTGAAAACATACTGAAAGCAAATCTAAGCTTTTGAAGACGTAAGCTTCACACAGGCTTCCAGGAGCAGCTCTTGCAACGCAGATCCACATCAGCAAGGGAGCTTCTGTTGCTACTGCTGTTGCTGCTGACTTGAGAGTCAGTGTTTCAGTCACAAACGGGAAAACCACCAGACATGGTAGCTGTCCCCACCCTGACTTAGCCCCCACCTGCTGGTGGTATACTAGACCCTAGAGGCTGCCATGTCTGCCACCACCATAAGCTTCCTGATGAGCCACCTGGTCACCATGATGCCCAGCTCTCCTGTAACAGGCTGTAGGGGTACATCCGCTTGGTGGATAACATGTTTAATGCAGAAATTCTAGCTGCAAGAGGGCCTGGGGAATATTGTTTAGCCTTTTAGCGTTAAGTCATGCTAGATGCAGTTTGGAGTTCTGTGGTATTTGTCACGAAGGGCCTCATATAACTGTATTAGTCTAGTTTCTTGCCTTTACAATATGTGCATTTCTGGGAAAGAGTAAAAAGCCAAAACTGTATAATGTTTTGTTTAGAATGCTTGAAGCTGAAAACTATTATTCCCAGGAAATATGCCTCCTCTTCAAACCAACTTTGTTTTGTACTTCTAGAAGTTTCACTGTATAAGAATCAAAATAGTCATGAATTTTAGCTTGCACTACTTCCAGAAGTAGTTTGGAAATAATTTTGATAGTTAAAAACAGTAACTGTCAAATAGTTCCAAATTTCTATTCCTATCCATGCCAGAATTGCTCTTTTCTTTGAATAATGCAAGATAATTTTTTTTTTTTTTTTTTTTTTTGAGTTGGAGTCTCACTCTGTCGCCCAGACTGGGGTGCAGTGGCCGCTTCCGGCCACCGCAGCCTCAACCTGCTGGGCTCCGGCAATCCTTCCGCCTCAGCCTTCTAAGTAGCCGGAATTACAGGCATGCACTACCACGCCCGGTTGATTTTTTTTTGATTTATTGTAGAGATGAGGTCTCGCTGCCCAGGCAGGTCTCGAACATGCGGGCTCAGGCAATCCACTCACCTCAGCCTCCCAAAGGCGTGGAATTACAGGCTGAGCCACCGAGCCCGGCTTGCAAGATTATTTTTGCCAAACAATGAAGGCAGTGATAAAGGCACTGAGGTAGCGCATAGATTACAAAAACATCTTTTCCTTAAAACTTTTTTGGGAAAGGAACCTCGTACTCCAAAGCAACAGACAGAAACAACATCGTGTCTTAAAAGGTTGGAATAGATAGTAAAAATTAAAATTAGCTCTGTATCAGTTAGCTGTTATCAACAACTACAAAATTTCAGTGACATACAACAATAATTATTTGTCACTTGTCTTTGGGTCAGATGGGACAGCTCTGATTATGTTGGTTGGGTGGCTTTCAGCTACAGGTTAGGTCCACATCTGCATTCCAAGGTTCTCATCCTCCTTGGACCAGCAGGCTGGCCAGGTCTGTCCACTTCCAAAGTGACGGCAAAGCTACAAGACAGCAAGCAGAAATACAAGTTCGTCTTAAGGCCTGAGCTTAAAACCGGCCTACTCTCATTTCAGCCCACATTTTATTGAACACAGCAAGCCACATGTTCAAGGCCAAAGACAAGGGGGAGGAACGTATGCTCTGCCCTTTTAATAGTAGAAACTGCAAAGTTTTGGCAAAGAACATCAACTGGAAGGGGATGATGAGGAGTTGGGGGCCACTGGAATCTACCATTTCCTCTAAATCAAAGTCTGTTTCTCAAAAAGTATTTGAGGAGAACACTTTCATACCTCAGATACCTCTGCTTTGTGTGTGTGTGTACGTGTGTGACTAACAAATTATCATTAGTCTTAGCCGCTTACACATGGCAGGATGATGCTTATTTAATCTCTGTGATTTAGACATGCAAATGATGCAAATTTCCCAGCTGTCAGGCTAAGAGAAGTGAGGATGAGGGCACCCTGCAGGGGTCGTCCTCCCCTTACCACAAACTTGGTGAGAATCGTGACATCTCAGTATGGTCACAGACCTTTAAGACATCATTAAAAGGCAGTCTTAAAAATCTTGTCTCTTAAACACAAAAGAAGTGTTGGTGAATATGTAGTGTTTACTCACAAACTCAGTCTAGGTTTATACCAGCTATTTGTTCTTTGGGATCTATGAGTAATGTAATGCTTCTCGATGAAAGAAACTGGATTATATTATTTTTCTTGACTTTTTCTTTAATAAGCATGCTGACCAAGAATATGAATTAGGGGGCACATAACATCAATAAGGGAACCTGATCCTAAGCTGGGAGAATTGAGGACCAGTGGGAGGCCTGGACTTCACTTAAACGTCAGTGACTTGTATACCTAACCCTGAATTGCACTCTACATCTTTGAAATCATAAAAAATAAAATCATAAAAAAAGAATTCATAATATTCAACTTAATATTACTAAAAACTAGAGTGTTTTCTGCTGACGTGAATATGAAACAGCTTCAAATCTGATTCTGAATGAATTGTATAAGATTTTTATTTATCACATCGCAGATGTAGTATATTTTGATGTCCAGGGAGAAAAGGTAACATAATAACCCTTTGGAACCCAGAAATAACTAATGGTGAATTCTGTTTTAAGAATGCCATCCAAACTAATGTCCCGCTCATAATGGAAAACAGTGGCACAGAAGTAGCGCTTTGCAGCAGACTAGGAGAAAATACACCCAAATTATAAGTGTTGAAATCGTGATTTGTTTCTTCTCCACAATAATTTTAATTAGAATGACAACTAGCATTAAGTTCTTGTTATAAAGCAGTCACAGTCCTAAGTGCTGTACATCTATTACATTTCATTTAACACACAAACAGACTGATGAGGCAGAACGCCTCATCAGTCTGTTATTTTTATTTACAGATGAGAAGACAAGCATAAAGAGGTTTATATGTTTCAGATTTTCTATAATGCACTGTTTGCTTTTAAAAAAAACTTTAAGCCACCAGGCACAGTGGCTTAAGGCCAGGCAAGGCGAAGAGTACCTGTATTCCCCTTGACTTGGGAGGCTGAGGCTGGAGAATCACTTAAGTTCAGAAGTTTGAGACCAACCCAGGCAACACAGTGAGATCCTCACCTCTAAAAACATTTTTAAAAAATTAGCTGGGCATGTTGGCACGTGCCTGTAGTAGCAGCTGCTCTGGAGACTGAAGTGGGAGGATCCCTTGGTCCCAGGAGTTCGAGGCTGCAGTGAGCTATGATCTTGCCACTCTACTCCAAGCAGCATGAGACTCTGACTCAAAAATAAAAAAATAATAATGAAAATAGAATGATGGGGTCAAGTGCAGTGGCTTATGCCTGTAATCCCAGCACTTTAGAAGACCAATGTGGGAGGATTGCTTGAGGCCTAGGAGTTCAAGACTACCCTGGGCAATACAGTAAGACCTCATCTCTACCAAAAAAAAAAAAAAAAAATTAGCCAGGCATTGTGATGAATACCAGTGTTCCCAGCTACAAGGTAGGCTGGAGTGGGGAAATTCCTTGAGCCCAGGAAGCTGAGGCTGCCATGAGCCGTGATCGTGCCACTGCACTCCAGCCTGGGTGACAGAATGAGACTCTGACTTAAAAACACACACACACACACACACACACACACACACACACACACAAACCCTTTTAAAGCAAGAAAACTGTGCCATCTTCAGGATTAACCATTTGCAAACAATCTGACATACTATCTGTAAACCTTTTTGTCCAAGGTGGTTCTGTGCTATACTGGAAAGATTTTGAATGCCATGAATCTCTTGCCTTAATATCTCGGAGCCTCTGTTTCCACATATGTAAAGTGACACTAGTTATGCTTGTCCTTCTCAAGATTGTGCAGGGGGCCAAATGAAATAGGTGAAAACAACTTATTAGTTATCAATTACCATATAAGCTAGGTAGTGATGTATTATGTAGTTAAATCTTAAAACTTTGTAGCTAGACTATTATAATTAGATGCTTGTTAGATAACACATGGCACATTCATCATCAAAACATTAAAAGCGAAAACATATAAAGCTAGTACTTATTCAGAAAGTCTGACGAACAGTGGTGCAAATATGGCTTCCGGCTCCATACTCAGTTGACAGTAATGGGCTGGTGGTGCTGCACCTGCAGCCAGCTCTGGGTCCTGAGGCCCTGTTGTAGAACACGGATGGTGTGTCACAAGCCATGTTGTTTGAATGGTAGTTTGCACTGCCATTTGCTAATGCCGTTTTCTCACAAATGCCTGTTGAAGTAGGATTTTTAATGTTACCTAGTTAAATAAGGGGACGTTTGTTTTGTTCGTGGTTGTGTCTCTATCGCCTAGAACATTGTCCGACATGTAAGTATTTGCTGAAAGAATGAATGGCACAGTGCTCTGGCGGTTGAAGAAGAGGCTTTAAGAATAGCTGTGACACAGTCCATGAAGGTGTTGGGCATAAGTACTGGTCACGTATGTATATGCGTGTGTGTGTATAAAATATTCTGGAGCCTCTTTGACCCACACACATTTGGCAGACTTGTAATCTTTTCTTATTTGCTTTACTCAGGGACGTGCTTCCTTAACACGAGAGAAAGAGGAGTTTGCCCATGAACATGAAGAAATGAAGAACCTAGAAGCCATTGTCCAAAAAATAAAACCAACTGCCCTCATAGGTGAACTTTTTTATCCACCCTCTCTTATTCCCCTATCCCCTGATTTTTATCTGATTGGTTTTCTTACTCACCAATTTCTAAAGAATAATCAACTTTTTTGAAATTCTAACCCTTGGAATCAAAAAACAAAACTAGACATTAACTCAAGCAACAGGACCCTATAGAGACCTAGATTTGTGACTTCAGTCCTGTCTTCTTTCTCTTACTGATCCGAGCTAACTGCTAATACCTGACATGCTCAGTACTTTCTCTGGTCGATTACTTTGGATAGACAGTGGTTCTCAGGTGGGAGAGACCTTGCCCCTAGGAACATTTGGCCACATCTGGAGAAGTTTTGAGTCCTCTTTAGCCGGAGGGGGTTTGGACTGGAGGGAGGGGCTGCCACCTCTAGCAGGTAAAGGCCAGGATGCTGCTGAATATCCTGTGATGTGTAGGACAGTCCCTGCAACTAGTTACCCAGCCCAGAATGTCAGCGATGCTGAGGTTGAGATGCACTAAACTAAATCAAAACCTCTTGGAAGACAGGGATCACATCTTGATTATCTCTATGTCTCTCATAGTACTTAACACAGTACTTACACATCACGTGTGTAATGTAGGGTATTTAATACAGTCAAATTTAAAGTGGTTAAAAAAAAGAAAAACCTCAAAGTTGTAAAACTTTATCCATTATTTTGTATGTATGTAATCTTGATTTTTTACTTTGTATCATACTCCAACCCTGAAAACTCTTGTGAAACAGATGAATATATTGATAATAATGATGATAACTATAATAAAACAACCCTTACTCCTTGACAAGAACTTTACTTAGCATTTAGTATTGTTTTTACAAAATATGTTGTCAGTAATCTTACTGTTTTTCATTTCCATTATGCTAATTGTTTTACTCTTCTGTTAAAGTTATTTCATGAGTAGTAATTCAGTTTTGCAGTTGAATCAGTCTTGTGTTAGCCTTGGTTTATAAAACATATTTGCATTGCAGCCTGACAGACTGAAATATACTCACAGAGTATATATATAGGACACATTTTAATTTTCTGATACAAATGCCTATAGTCAAAATTCCAAGTGATTAGTTACTAATTCAACATATTATGAATTAAACATTATCTTTCATTTTTATGGATACATGTAGATTTGTAACCCTAAAGACTGCAGAGATTGTTGGCATTAACAGATGTATCTCTTTGTGTTATAATACTTTTAATAAGAGTACTCTATATAGTATTTTGTTTGGGATCTATTGGAAAATGACGTGGTATGTACTATAGTTTTTGCGTATGGGCCTCCTAGATGAATTAACCTATGATGAATTAACCTGTGATGGTCCTAATCACCAGTTCCTAATTTTTCCATTAGGAGTTGCTGCAATCGGTGGTGCATTCTCAGAACAAATTCTCAAAGATATGGCTGCCTTCAATGAACGGCCTATTATTTTTGCTTTGAGCAATCCGACCAGCAAAGCAGAATGTTCTGCAGAGCAGTGCTATAAAGTAACTAAGGTAAAGTAAAAGTGTAACTGATATTTTAATAATCAAATTTTGATTTTAATTATAGAGAGGCCTAGGGTATCTAAGGTGGTTACCATTTAACCTTCAAGAATTATATAACCAAGAATGAAAGAAAAGTGAACAAGTTGGGGGATAAGAAGTATTTCTCTTTCTAGAATGTTGTTGTGTACATCCTCTTCTTCAATAAAATAAACTTGGTAACGTTGTAGTGATAATTTTCTTCAAGTGATTTGGAAGTATCTAAGATTTAAAATAGAAAGTAAGAAAGGTTGGTTCTAGAAGCTGATGAAAATAGCTTTTAACTAGCTATTCCCAAACATTGAAGCATACAGTATAAAACCACAGGCTTATTTTTGCTTTGCTAAATCCTGGGTTTGGATTTTGATGCCATGGGTGGAACATTTGGGCAGCTATCTTGACATTCAGCCAGGTTGGGATAGGAGTCTTCAATACTTCAGTACTTTACTGTTTCAAAAAAGTGACTTATTTTATACTATTTTATACATAATATATTTGACTAATATGTTGGCAAGAGCCTTTCTTCCATTCAAAGACTGGAAAAAAAAATCATTACAACAACTGAGATTGATGTCTATCTAAAACTTTTACTTTGGAAATAAGTCCAAAATGAAATAGAGAAGGTAAGTATGACACAAAATTATGTCGCTCTGCATAAATTCAAACTTGATGGCTCTACTTCAATCCTGTATCCTTCAATGTTCATTGATAGAATTAATTATTATTTCTACAAGGTACCACACCATTGTTTATCTCTCCTACTTGGGATGGCATCAGTATCTTCACTGATTTTAAATTTTTTTTTTTTTTTTTTTTTGAGTCGGAGTTTCACTCTGTCACCCAGACTGGATGACCGCAGCCTCGACCTGCTGGGCTCTGGCGATCCTTCCGCCTCAGCCTTCCAAGCAGCTGGAACTACAGGCGCGTGCTACCACGCCCGGCCGATTTTTTTATTTATTTTTGAGATGAGGTCTCACCAAGTTGCCCAGGCGGGTCTCAAACCCGCGGGCTCAGGCAGTCCACTTACCTCAGCCTCCCAAGGTGTGGGATTACAGGCTGAGCCACTGAGCCCGGCTTGATTTTAAATTTATCTCATCCTTAGGTTGGGGAATTTGCCTCACATGACTCAGTAGTCCTTAGGACCTTAAAAGACAAAAAGCCCTTTGCGCAATCACAAAATTTTAGCATGGTGCCTTGCACACAGGAGGCAGACAGTAAACAAGTGTTTAATTATTTTATCTCAGTATGTCTCAGTGAACCTCAAGAACTTAGAGACTCATCTGCAGCACACATATAAAGTTATCCAAATTTATGTAGTGTGTTTTAAAATATGAATGTGTTTGATATAGATGCCTTTAATGTTTTCTTATGGTCTTTCCTGATGCTCTATGTGGTTGTTCATAAACCACAGAAAGTGATTTTGAGCTTGGAAATTTAGATACTGGTTTGGCCAAAGAATTACAGAAAAATGGTACGGGAAGACTTCCATTCCCATATTAACAATTTGCATATATGCGACTGCTTAGCCAGCTACAGTGCTGTCATCTGTTTAATGCCATTCCTTCTTAAAATATAGTGAGCCTAGAAAAATAGGCAGGAAGATGGGAGTGAAGGAGGGGAGGGAGATAAACAGTGTTGCAGGCCTCTTTCTCAAATATGGTTTTTGAAAACCTGTATTTATGAAAAAATAATTTAGGTCCATTAGAAAGTTGTTTGTAATGAAATGCTTTATCTGGTAAACAGAGTTTATTATCTCAGTCTTGTTTGAAAACAAAGTCTAATTCTGTGCAAAACATAACAGTATGTTATAGGCACCTAAATGAGAATTTGTTTTCTTTTTCATCTATTTTCATCGATTTATATCCTGAAGAAGGTTGAATTGTATATTATACAAGGTTCAAAAGAACCAAAAGGTATATTATGATATTGGATAAACAAGCTAATATTACTAATATCAGGATTTAGACTACAGATCTAAGAGGTAAGAGGTATGGCACTTATAACCCATTTGGTCATCATTTAAACTCTGCTTTGGGGATTTGATGACTTAGACTTTTCAAGCTGATTTCTTAGATCGGGATGCTTCCTTTGTTGAGGGCTTTCCATACCTGCGCTGAAGCCTAATTGCTGTCACTCTCACAGATCAGACACATGCTCTCCTTTTGACTAGCATTATGGAATGTAGCACCCAGCAGGCCCTACATCAGTGACTTCTTGCAGCAAGTAATACATAAGATTCCTCAAATAATTATGGTAAAATAGTAAAACCAGGAGAGATGAAGGCAATTATGACAACTTAAGTTTCCCCTTACTTGCCAATTCCGCTTGTGCTAATGAGTTGCTTCCTATGTGATTTTCCATATGACTCTTTACAGTATAGAAATCTATACATTGGTCTCAGTTTTTACTTTGGAGATGTGTTGATCCTTAAATCCCAACCTAATGTCATCTTTCAGTACTTTAATGTTAATCCATACTTTTTTATCTTTAAAAGTCTATAATTGGAAGCCCAACATAGAAGCAGTTGATGGGCCCATGGGCTGAACCAGTGCAGAGAACAGAGTGATGGTCTCTGGGTTTCTTGCACTTGTTGCTTATATCACAGAAGCTTGCCTAGACTTCCTAGGAAGTTACTGAAAAATTAGACTTCTAAGTATTTAGGCTATGGGGTAGTACTGTTAAGATACAATTGTTTTAAAATATCCTGCTTCTTGTTAAAGTTAGTTGTGTGTGTGTCTGTGTTGCAGGGACGTGCAATTTTTGCCAGTGGCAGTCCTTTTGATCCAGTCACTCTTCCAAATGGACGGACCCTGTATCCTGGCCAAGGCAACAATTCCTATGTGTTCCCTGGAGTTGCTCTTGGTGTTGTGGCGTGTGGATTGAGGCACATCACAGATACGATTTTTCTCACTACTGCTGAGGTATTGTGAAGTCCTCCAGGTTTGCCACGGCTATAAAGCAGGGGTCAGGGGTCCCCACCCCCCAGGCCACGGACCTGCATTGGACCAGTACTGGTCCGTGGCCTGTGGCCTGTTAGGAACCAGGCCACACAGCAGGAGCTAAGCCATGGGCGAGCAAGTAAAGCTTCATCTGTATTTACAGCCATTCCCATCACGCGCATTACCACCTGAGCTCCGCCTTCTGTCATAGCAGCAGCAGCAGCATAGGATTCTCATATGTGCTCGACCCTATTGTGAACTATGCATGCAAGGGATCTAAGTGCATGCAAGGGATCTAAGTTGCGCGCTCATTGTGAGAATCGAATGCCTGATGATCTGAGGCGGAGCTGAGGTGGTGGTGCTAGCGGGGAGTGGCTGCAAGGACAGACTAACATGAGCCATGAGGCTGGACAGACCGTCATAAACCAGTCGCCTGCGGACTCATATCAAAACAGTGATAGAAAAAAAGTGCACAGTAAATGTCATGTGCCCGCATCATCCCAAAACCATTATCCCTCCTGCCGAGTCCATAAAAAACCGTCTTCCACGAAAGCGGGCCCTGATGCCAGGGTTGGGGACCACTGCTATCAAGTACCAAGTGTGCTCAGCCTAGGTGATCTCATGTTTTATTTATCTAGCACTTTCAACCCATTTTTAGACGTAAAATCTGAAGAAGAGAAAATCTTTCCCAATGGAGAATTAAGGGGTAGGTGGCAGGTTCATATTGAGTCACTAGCAAGAGATTGTTCTTCAGTAGCTGGAAAAACTATGCTTTGATTTATTAAGAGGAATTCTTTTTTATCTTCACACATCAGATCAAATTCTGTGACAGTAAAGAGACGAGTAGAAATATTGTTTCTGGCCGGGCATGGTGGCTCAGGTCTGTAATCCCAGCACTTTGGGAGGCTGAGGTGAGTGGGTTGCCTGAGCCCGCAGGTTCCAGACCCACCTGGGCAACTTGGCGAGACCTCATCTCTACAATAAATAAAAAATCAGCTGGATGTGGTAGCGCATGCCTGTAGTTCCAGCTGCCTGTAAGGCTGAGGAGGAAGGATCCCTGAGCCCAGCAGGTCGACGCTGGGGTGGCCGTGATTGTGCCACTGTACTCCAGCCTGGGTGATGGAGTGAGACTCTAACTCAAAAAAATATATATATTGTTTCCAAAAGACAATTAAGTGGTAAATATTTCTCCATTGAGAAACTTCTTAAATAATGTCTTTTTGAACGTTTAAAATGAAAGTCTGATATGGTATAGTGGAAGTGTTTATCATTTAGGGTTCAGTATAGCATTTCTGGTTTTCATACTTCCTCAATTATGTCCCATTCATTGTTTTCTTTGTCTCCTTTTCATCTCTCTTTTAACAAAGAGCTTTTTTTTCTAGCATTCACTTCCCCCCTACTTTTTTCCTCTCTTTGTCTTCTGCTTTGGAAGATCTTTGCTTGTTTCTGGTATCTTCACTCTAATCTTTAAGCAGAAATTAAATTAAAATAGGGAATTAGGTGTTTATAAAAATCATTAAAAGGACGGGAGAAGTGGGCTGTAGTCTGAGCCTTCAGGAAAGACTCTCAGAATATCACAGAGCAGGATCATTGGGGCATCTTGTGCTGCCAGGTATTGTGAAAGACCCGAGATCTTAGCCTACTTGCAAGCTACCAAGTTAGTCACAACTTCATAGATGTTGGCAGAGGACACGAAGCTCTTGGGGCAGATACAAAGGGCTTTTAGTCGTGGCACAGGAGATGTCATGAGCTTACCACAGTTAGTTCTCCGTGCCCTTCCCAAGCCTCAGCAGGATGCAGCAGCAGGTGGGCATATCTGTAAAATCATGAGCTTCTGATCGTCAGAACGTTCATCTGGTTGACATCATGTTGTCAGATTTGAACAGGATGCAGTTTGCGAATGAGAAACTTGAGCCACTCTTCAAATTTCTCTTAAACCACTGTACATTATAGTTAAACTGAACCAAGTAGAACTTGATTAGTAGTCTGATATTTTTATGTTGCTAACATGCGGTTTCCATTGTGAAGAGGAGCCTCAATAACATAGACAAAGATTCTTACGTTATTGATGTGGCCTGAGAAGCCTAGCCCTAGTTGGCACCGTCATCATTCAGATACCGGGACGCCGTGATGTCCTGCTCCCTTTTCTTCACAGAACTGATGCCAGCAGATATCTCGGGTTTTCTTTAACTTGAAAAATATTGTTAAACATAAGCGGCTGTCAAATTACTAAGAGAACATTTCAAAGTTGTTTTTGCATTAGGGAAAATGTAATCATTGCCTTAATACGCACAGCGTCTTTTTAGAGTAGAAACACTACTCATAGTCCATGTCTTCTTTCCTAAATAACTCTAGCTCCCTCTTGTGACAGATCTCATGAAAAGTATTTGCTATCCAGGAAAAGTAATAATCACTACCAACAAACTGAAGAAAAACAATTAAAATGTATTTCCATTTTCCATTCACAGAAATAATATTCTTAAAAAATGTGGCCTTGTCAACAGTGTTATTCTTATCATAGCTAGTGATTTCTCCGACTACATCTTTGGCCTCCCTACTGGTTTTCTCTTAGGCCTCAGCACGGCATTCCTGGTTTTCATAGTTCCTCAGTTATGTCCCATTCATTGTTTTCTTGTCTCCTTTTCGTCTCTCTTTTAACAAAGAACTTTTTCCCCTAGCATTTATTGCCCCCTCTACTTTGTTCCTCTCTTTGTCTTCTGCTTTTGAAGCTCTTTGCTTGTTTCTGGTATCTTCACTCTAATTGTGGCCGAATCTGTGTCTCTCTGTTCTCATCTTTTACCATACCTCCTGTTCCCTGCTGGGTAAGTTCCTGGAAGTATCCTGCTGTGTCTTAAACACAACACTCTTAAAACCTGACTTGTCACCTTCCCTTGCTTCGCCTGTGTTCACAGTTATTCCCAGGGTTGTAGTAATACCCCCTTTCCAAGCAGGCCCCGGAGCTTAGAAGCCTCATCCCATAGCCTTCAAGCACACCACGATGTGCACACCTGCATAATCAACTGCTTTCTCTCTTGTCACATGGAAAGACCTGAGGACTATTCTCCCCCAATTCAAGCCTGTCATTTAGGGTACTGCTTAAGTCTCACCTCATCCTTGAATCCTTTTGTGATAAGCCTGGCTCTTCCGGGTCTTTCGTCTTAGCCATAGCTGTCTTTATTAAACACCTTGACATTTAATTTTACTTCTCTCGAGAGCTTCATATTTTAAACAATTAAGTGTTGCCTCTATAATTAAGTTGCTCTATAATTATCTTCTTGAAAGAGTCTTCCATATACCTTCTTTCAAAGCTTCAGTAGCACTGAGCACAATGCTAAGCACAAAGCAGAAACTTAACAAATACTTGTTGAGCTGAATTAAATAGAACTAATCATGTATCTTAGCAGAAGATAGATGAGTAACTGCCACAAACATCCACTGCCAGAAGGCCTAAAAAAGAAGAAAGTCTTTTTTGTCTAGATTATATTTTGTAGTTAACAGAAATAACATTTGGGAGATCTAGATGAATTTTGTTTGGCAGCCTCAATTTTTTTTCCTGAAATCTTTAATAAAAGATGAGAGACTGGAGCAATCCGAAGAGAAACAGGAACATCGGCAACCTCAAATATAACAACTGCTAGGAGCCCTATTGAAAATACCAGTCACGTCTCATGGACTGGCACCAAGCACAAAACACATTTCTGGACATTTTTCTGCCATAAAGAGAGTGTTGGCTTTCCTGGCATTGGGACATTCTTCTGGACCCCTGATGAGAGCACAGAGTACTCCCCTGGGTCAGCCTGCCTGGCCCTGTGTGGTCTGTAGTGCAGCTGGGCAGCAGGCTTCTCACCTGCTGCTCACACCTGGGAGATAAACCTGTGCCTCCTTTCCCCATGCCACTCCTGAATCACCTGCTGGCGTCCTCTCATCTACCCCGATCCACTCCCTTCTGACGTCTTCCCAGGGGACACTTGGGATAATACCATTGACATCTTTTGGAAGGACCTTTGACTCACTTAAGTTGCTGGGTAACTGAAAATCCAGCCATCATCGCATTGTCAGAATAAACAGAGATTATTTGGAATCAGCCACAGTGTCACTGGAGATACTCAAGTCCCATGAAAGGCAGCACATGGCTTTTGAGTGAATGATTCAGTGGAGGAGATTGAGGCTAGGACTTGTGCACGTTCTCCTCCCCCACCCCCAGAACCCCCCTCTCACACTTTAGTGGGGCCCCCATGGTCACCTATGTGCTGCTTGATTCTTCCCCAGTTTCTCCGCTCCCCCTTTGTGTGACAGGCACACGAGGAGAGTTTGGCCTCAGAATGGTTCTTCTTAGCTGTCTTCTGACTCTTCCCCATCTCTTTAAAATGACATTTGTGTAGCATTCTAGAGAAGAAACAATGGTTCTGAAGGCCAGCAGTGTGCTAGTGGTGGGAGGCACAATGTATGTATCATTTCACATAAGCAGTTGAAAAAAACTGAAGCTGATTGTTATAGAATTTGCCCCAAATCACATAGCTAAAAGGCTAATACATTTTAGAGCTAGGGCTGACACCAGAAGTTTTGCTTCCACTTTGCCATGAGGCTGCCTACTTGTTATTTTTAAAATAAAATAGCTAAGATTCATTGAACACTTATTTGGCAGACAGTGGTAAGTTCTTTGCTGTCATTTATTTTATTTAATCCTATGAGCCAGAAACTGTTATATATTCTGAGACTTATTCTGAGACTTATAAAAGTTAATTGAGTTGCCCAAATTCAGACAGACAGTAATGGGTGGGAATCAGGGTTCAAACATAGGTCTCCTCACACCAGAGCCTGAACCATCAGCCACCAAGCTATTACAACTTTTCAGCATCTCGCTACCCATTTTTTTTTTCTTATCTAGTTAAATAACAATACTGGATATCCATAAAAGTTTTTGCTTTTACATCTAACAAGTTTCCACTGATTTAAACCACCACAAATCCTTTGCATAACAAGAATTAAGAAGATTTTTTTAATGTCGTTTCAGTTCAGTGGTTTGAATTTAAATGGCCTCAATCATTGTTTTAAGTAATTCTCCACCAAATCTACCTTTCATTTCTCTTCGTGACATTTCAGTAAGATCCCATGATTTACAGGTCACTCATTCTTTCAACAATTGTTAAGTACCTGCTGTGTGTTAGGCATTATTCTGAGTGCTGAAGACATGCCAGTGAACAGTAATTAAACATCTGCCCCGTTCAAGGTTGTATATCCAACCCAGATTCAGGTCCTCTCCCGGCAGGACAAGAGGTCTACAGTCGCAGGTCGGGAAGGCCCTGCTTCTCTTTCACCCTTCCTCTGACACTAGCTCTCGGGAGGACTTGGGGGAGTGTGCGGCTAGTCTCTGAGAAACCTCCTCCCCCTTCTCACGAAGGCCTGCTTCTTCAGATGTGCTGGAGATAGGCAGGAAGGGTATGTGTCAACTCTCCACTGTTTTAGGCCATCAGGCCCTCTGTGGCCGGGTTCACACCTGGCTCGCTCTCTCTCAGGACCCACTCGAGGGTTCAGAGGCCCCTTACTTGGGGGTCTGGCTTCGGTTTAGCCTCCTCGCCCACCTTTGGTCACCCAGGAAGCCGGGGCCTCCTCAGCTGTGACCACTTGGCGGTGGAAACTCATGTGTCCATGCCAGATCCGCCAAAGGGAACACAGACCGCTCACGGCTGCCGCAGCGCCTCCCCGTCCCACTCTCTCCTCCGCTACTTGAGTTCGCCTGTCTGCAACTGCTCTGGACACGTGGGGAGCAGAATGCCAGTCTCTCCTTGAAGCTGGGTGGTGATGTATCATGTAGTCAAGTCTTAAAACTTTGTAACTAGAATATTACAATTAGATGCTTGCTAGATAACACACAGCACATTCATCATCAAAACATTAAAAGCAAAAACATAAGCCTAGTACCCACTCAGAAGAGCAGAAGGGAAGAAAAGATCACTGCACAACTCTCCGGGCCAAGTCAGGGCTCCAGCCACGTTCCCCATCTCTCCCCTTCTCAGCCTCTGGGAGGGGGTGCCGTGGTCGTAGGGTGGCAGGACTGGCTTCCACCTCTTAGGCTCTGCAGGAGGAGGCCACACTGTTCTGTGGCTTCCTGAGAGTGTGGAGCACCTACTGCCTCTTTGGGCTCCAGTTTGGGCCCTGGCTACTAATTCTGGAGCAGAGGAAAACATTAGTCAACATCCTGTTGCAAAGGCAAGAACCAGTGAGTGAAGTGATGGGAGATTATAAGACTGGGCTCAAGACTCTGCGAGTCACCCCCCCCCCGCCTCTGCCTCCATGCCCTTGGTCAGAAGTCCTCCATCACCCACAGGGTTTTATCCAAGCTCCGCTTCCTGATTTCGCCGCTGCCCCACCTCAGACACCACCTCAGACGCTGGGGCCCACACTCCCCTGCGTGGCCCCAAGTGCCCTCCCTGTTCTTCCGCCTGACTCCCACTTTTCCTTGGAGCCCCTCTCCACCGTGAGGCGTCCACACCTGTCCTCCCTCTGGGTTCCTGGACACGCCTCCTTGTTGCTGACCTGGGGGCTTCTCTTCCTGAGTTCTCTTTTTCTTCCTCTTCCCTGTGACCTTACTAAATTGGAAATGTCTCTTTTTTAAACTTCTCCGCAGTGTTATTCTTGTTGAGAGTCCTATATATTTGCTGATGGCAACAAAACAATATTTTGGAAATAATTTTATGATTTAAAAATCTAAGAGATACTAAGAAATACTGAAAGAGCTCTTAATTTCAGTTATTCAGAATGTGCAGATCAAGGTGTCCCACTCCCTCTCTACATCTACATTTCTGTTAAACAAAGATTCAGCTATAAGTGATTTAGATCCACCCCACCTAGAAACTTAAAGTCTTAGATCTGGAGGGAACTTCAGGGTTGCTAGGGTGGCCTTAGGGGTCAGTGGAGAATTTAACGTCTTTGATTCAGAATTAGGAAGCAGCTGGGGACAGCAGTAGCCAAGGCTAGTCAGGTGATTCCTATCATCCAGAGTCTGTGAGAGATGAAAATCCTGCTTGTAAGGAGACTCTGCAGTGACTTTCTCAGCCTCCTGCCCTGTCCCCTGTGCAGGAACCCATGAGCTGGGGTGGCGGCATGCTTGGCCTCAGCGACCCCCCCCATATGTTCAGGGTCTTTTCTCACTGCTCTATCCTGTTCCTCCTCATTCTTTCTTACTCTTCTTTTTCCCGTTCCCCTAATGTATCGATTGAGGATACAAGTATCCAGCATTTCATGGTATAGAGAGAAAGAACTGGTCTAAGTGACACCTGGAATCCATTCCCATCTTTTTTTTTTTTACCAATTATGTGATCCCAACATATGTGACTAAACCTCTCTGGGCTCAACTTTTCATTGATAGAAAGGGAGATGAAATGAGATGATCACATTAACGTGGCTGGTTTCTGTATACCACCATTATATGTGACCATTCACTTAGTTATTTGCATAACCACCACATTGTATGGTGTGAAGTATAAACGTTCTTTCTTTCTTTTTTTAAGGTTATAGCTCAGCAGGTGTCAGATAAACACCTGGAAGAGGGCCGGCTTTATCCTCCCTTGAATACCATTAGAGATGTGTCCCTGAAAATTGCAGAAAAGGTAAAACCATGCTTGTTCAAGCTTCATTGTTTTTCCTTCCTTCTCTTGCTAAATATGTAGATTTAAATGTTGAAAATCTGCTCCTTGAGATGTGTATCTGTATCAGCTTACTGTGTCAGAAGTCGGAAATGGGGCACGATGACTTGGAAGAGCTTGGGAATTACAATTGATGCTGAGAGAGGAATGGAGGAATTCTGCTGAGCCATTGATTATCCTGTCAGTCGTGTTTTTCCTATAACTTAAATAACTCGATAGGGTTCTCTTTCAGACTGGTTCCACCCATTTTGCCTTTTTAAAGTTGTTCTTTCCCATATCACACTTGTGGTAACGGCTAACATATCGCAGACATGTTAGAGAGACACTTCGTCCTCGAGCCACTTCCCTGTGTGTCCTTTTGATGGACGGCATGTTACGTGACTAAGATTACAACTGAGGATACCGGCAGAAGGCAAAACCGTGAGGGCAAAGGGCTCCAAAGCTGTGGGGGTGGCAGACGTGCTGTCCAGGGAGTCAGCCAAGGAGAACCTAAAGGCAGGGAGGTTTCCGCAGCACAACAGAGACACACGGCCTTCGTGGCAGTGTGCTTGTGTTTGTCTGGTCGGGCTGGCACAGCCACAGACTCATTAAGCAGCATGGGCTAGTTTTCTCACGTTTCGGGGACCGCACGTCCCAGCAAGATGTCCGCAGGTCTGGGTTCTTCTGAGGCCTCTCTTCTTGGCTGGCAGACGACCGCCTTCTTACTGTGTCCTCACCTGGTCTTTTCTCAATGTGTGTACCCCGCTGTGCGTCGATATGTCCCCTTCTTACAAGGACACCAGTCACACTGGATTAGGGCTCGCCCACGTGGCCTCATTTGGACTGATTCATCTCCTTGCAGACCCTTTCTGTGATACAGTCACATTCTGAGGTCCTAGTGGTTAGAGCTTCAACGTATGCATCTGAGGGGGACACAGTTCAACTATAACAATAGTTATATGTTTAAGCTGCGATTTCTTTGCCTCAGCCCTCTGGACTTTGGGCTAGATAACTCTGTTGTGAGGACTGTCTTGGGCATGGTACCATGTTTGGCAGCATTCCTGGCCTCTGCCCACTACATATAGTAGCATCTGCACTGTTGAGACAACCAAAAATATTTCCATACATTGCCAAGTGTCCCTGTAGGGAGCAGATTGCTCCTGGTTGAAGATCACTAGCATAAGGTATTAGCAGGTTTATCTAAACAAGACCATTTAAGAATCACATATTGTTATTTATCTTATTGATTGAAAGTAGATTCTTCAAAAAGCAAGCAATCCTTCAAATAACTTTAGATAATAAACTGCTTGGTTATCTATTTTTGAAAGAGTATGCTCATATTATCTGTTAATATGTGTCTACTACTCTTTTTTTCTGGAGTTGGGGCCTTACTCTGTTGCCCAGGCTGGAGTGCAGGGACGTCATCATGGCTCACTGCAGCCTTGACCTCTGGGGCTCAGCTGATCCTTCTGCTCAGCCTCCCAAGTAGCTGGGACTACAGGTGCATCCCACCACACCAGGCTAATTTTTAAAATTTTTTGTAGAGACAAGATCTCGCTGTGTTGCCCAGGCTGGTCTTGAGCTCCTGGGCTCACGCAGTCCTCTCACCTCCACCTCCCAGAGTGCTGGGATTACAGGCATGAGCCACTGTGCCTGGCCTACATCGACTACTTTCTAGTTAGTGTGAACGATTAATATACAGAACAGCATAATATCATTTTGAGTTCGTTTGAGGATGCAAATGAAGAGGAATTAGCATATGATTACAGGAGAAAGTAAGAAAGTAGGGACAGAAGAGAGGAGTGCAGAAAGATGCAGATATGACACTTGCTGGGCGCTCAGACCGAAGTGAGGACATCAACAAAGAACCAGCTTTGGGGGGAGGATCATGTGCGTGGACGGCGTGTGTGTGGTGCCAGTGGCACTCTCAGAGGCACATTTCCAACAAGTGGATGGACGTGACTGGAGCCGAAGCAAGACTGCGGAGTCATCTGCATGTGGTGACAGGTGACACCCCAGGAGTGGCGGGGCTGCAGAGAGCAAGTACAGGGGGGAACAGAAACTGAGGACAGGTTAGGGTTTAGTCCTGTGTCTGGAAGACAGAAGGAGGATGCTGGTTAAGAAGAAAAGGGGTCAGGATTTTAGGCAGAGTCTCCCCACAGAGCAGCATGCCAGAAATCAGAGACCAGACAGTTTAGTGTGAGGGTGGAAGCTGAGATCAGCAGGACTGTATCTGGGAGAGGAAGACAGATGGGGACTTCTACCTGGTGCTTAGCAAGTGATCACGAGAGATGTTTACGAAAGAGATGTCAAGAAGCCAAGAGAACAGGTCGTCAGGGAGAATTAGGCCGGCAGAGCAGCACAAGCCCTTCCTCCAGAGAGTTTGGCATTGGCAGGAGAGAGTGAAGATGTCGCGGGAGAGGGGCCGTGGCTGTGGTGTGCCTGGGAGCAGAACGAGGAGATGAGCAGCCGCTGGCTGTGCCAGCCATGCCCAACCGTGCTGTGTTGCAAAGTTAATACAGGCTTGAGGGTCTTCTCGAGGAGGTGGGCACGTCCACCACTGAATGTGGTGCTTGTGGCATAGCTCAGTAGCTTTCCAAAATAATTTAATGGGACACTTGAAATGGTTGGATTTTGTGTGAATTACACCTCAACAAAACTGTTTAATAAGTAATAGTGCCACATTATAGACACTTTGGAAAACAGAGAAGAGGAAAATAAACAATATTCTACATTCCTAATATAGGCATCATTATTTTTCATGTGTTTGTTTCAAGTCTTTTAAAGAAATTTGTTTGCTCTATTTTCTAGCATCATAGTTTTGGTGTATACACACTTTTACTTCCTGCATTTTCATAGCTATTTCTTCACAATACAGTACAATATTTATAACCAGAATTGTTCATAAATGCATAAATTTTACATTGAAAAGAGCTATTTAATCTTTCTAATACTCTTCAAATTCAGACTTAACCCAATAAGTCATTCTTACAAAAAGCTGCTCACTGACTGCTTTTTATAACTGGTGTGAATTAAATAGTGCATATGGGGTGATTAATTTTGACAAGAAGGAGAATCCATTTTTCTCAAAGAAACTAAGGGAAGAGCAGAAGCATGAAGAATCAGAGGAGGGAGTTTGAGTTGGTGAAAAGGGAAAATGTCGTTTTCTCTGAGTAACTGGAATTTTCTCAGTAGAGGGATGAGAGTCAAATGGAGATTTAAAGACAAGGGAAGGTTTGGAACTGGCTTTCTGGAACCATGAGAGGAAGTTTTTCCACCTGGACCTCTTAGGCTCAGGCTGTCTTTCAGACTCAGCCTCCTGAGTAGGGGAGACTACAGGCATGCACCACCACACCCAGCTAATTGTTTTGATTTTTTGTAGAGATGAGGTCTTGCTATGTTGCCCAGGCTGGGCTTGAACTCCTGGCCTTAAATGATTCTCCCACCTTGGCCTTCCAAAAGAGCTAGGATTACAGATGTGAGTCACCACACCCAGCCAAGAGGAAGTTTCTTTTTTTAAAAAAAGAAGTAAAAGTATAATGTGCAGGTTAGGAAAAGTATGACACCACAGAAAACCTGTGCATGGTTCCAGGATGTAGGGCCGTGGAAGGAGAAAGCCAGTATGGAGGGACCAGAATTGTGTGTGTCACACAAAATGTGAAGATGGGGTTCTGTGAAACTGACAAGGAGCACAGACCCTGCCTGCAGATCAGGGTCAGGAGATGCTGCCATAAACAGAGACCATTTGGCGGGGACAGTGGTCAGATCAGGAGTTCTTGGAAATTTTAGGTTCTCACTTAGCAGGACTGTTTAGGTATTTGGGGTTCAGTTAGTTATCAGTCAGATCATGTCAAGACATTTAACACTGGCTTCTCTGAGAAATCCTGGGGTGATCGTACTTGCATAAATCTTCACTCCTCAAATGCTTTCATTTCTGGAAGCCTTTTCCCTCTCACTATGTGATTTATAATTGCTCTTCATTTTATATCTTCGTCTACATGTGCTTTTGTTATAATGCACTTAAGGTTTTGGAAACAGGCAATTATATAAATTAAAATCTGTTGCCGGGCTTGGTGGCTCAGCCTGTAATCCTGTGCCTTTGGGAGGCTGAGGTGAGTGGATTGCCTGAGCCTGCGGGTTCGAAACCCGCCTGGGCAGCCAGACCTCATCTCTACAATAAATTAAAAAATCAGCTGGGCATGGTAGCGCATGCCTGTAATTCCGGCTACTCGGAAGGCTGAGGCGGAAGGATCGCCGGAGCCCAGCAGGTCGAGGCTGCGGTGGCCGGGAGCGGCCAGTGCACTCCAGTCTGGGCGACAGAGTGAGACTCCGACTCAAAAAAAAAAAAAATTAAAATCTGTTAAATAAAAACTTCTGCTGGCTTGGGTTCACTATCACCTCTATTTATTAAAATAATTAATATTCTTTTCTATATCTAGATTGTGAAAGACGCATACCAAGAAAAGACAGCCACCGTTTATCCTGAACCACAAAACAAGGAAGCGTTTGTCCGCTCTCAGATGTATAGCACGGATTATGACCAGATTCTACCTGATCGTTATGCTTGGCCCGAAGAGGCCCAGAAAATACAGACCAAAGTTGACCAGTAAGAAAATAGCCAGCATTTCTAACTCTGTTCAAGGTCTTGCGCTCTTTCATAAGTTTTAGAGGTTGGAATCTTTTATAATGATTTCATAATATGCTTAGATTAGGATAACTTTAACATTCTAAAAATTTATGGAAGAATATTGATATAAATTAGGGCAAACATCACATTAGACAATTTTGCTTCATTTGCCTTCTGGTTATTTATGGTTTCTATCTTAATGATTCTGCCTAAGTTCTCTTTAAAAGCTGTTGTACCTACTACTGAGAAACTCATTGTTTTTATATAGGAAACCAATTGGAAGACCAAAATTAGTAATAAATTGATATGATCAACATTAAAACCCATACTTCCTTTGTTGACCACTTTGTTAAAATTTACTTTTTAAAATAAATGTAGAAATTAATTCAGGCATAGCTGAACTTTTGCTAAACAGAAATAACACTACTTTGTTGCCTAGAGAGTGATAACTTCTCAGGTATTTTTATTCCAGTACTAGATTATATTTGTTATTTTGGGGCAAATGAATTCTAACATTTCTAAGAAAGATCACTGCTGTTTACAATGCCTTGTGCAGCCTTAGATTTTAATATTCTTTTGTCGTTATTACATCTTATAGAGCAAAGCTGTTACCACCTTGGTTCTCAGCCAGAAATCCCTCCTGAAAGCGCCTTTATTTCCCCCTGACCGAATGGCCTATCCTTTAGCCACCATGCTGTTGCTACTGGCACGTGGCCTGTGGCCCCTGTCCAGAGGTGGGTGCCTTCGGTTCGGCACAGCCTGAGCAGGGAGAAGGGCTGAGAGCTTGCAGTGCAGGTCCTGAGAAACCGTGCTCTTGAGACAAGGATTTTGGGATTCAGAAGACCATGGTTCCCAGACAAGCAAGGTTCCTACTTGAGAGACCTGCCATAGTGGCTCCTTGATTAGCTCAGGTAACACAGCTCACTGTGTTATAATAACCTCACTTTCTTCTGAGTTTGGAGAAAGTTTTATAACTTCATTCCAAGTGTCAGAAGTTATCTTTACATCAGATATTAAAATATTCTAATTACCAAGACCATTCTATTAGAAAAAATAGTTACATCTTCAGATTGGATTAATTTGCTTTAGACATTAGTGTTAGAACTCTCATGTGCAATAACATTTGCTATTTATTTGTAGAATTTCTGTTTTTGAAGTAATGCTTTAAAAGAGTATAAGAAGATGTTCAAGATAAACTATTCCATAAAACGATTTTATAGACGGTTGAGGGTGACACACATTGTTTTAGGTATGAGCAGAAGGGGGTTGGGGCATTTCTGAAGCTGACGTATAGTCAAGAGTTTTCTCAATCTAGTTATTTGGCAAATATTCAGAATGTCTATCTATTTCTTTTCAGTTTCTGTGGTTGTCTTATAGCTCTAACTAAATGTATTTACCTATGCAAAAGATTTATTAACGCGTAGAAAAAGCGAATGAATAAAATTATAAAATAATTGTCTTTTTTCTTAAAGTATTGTTACGTTGTAATGTTGAGTCTTGGGACCATATGACAAAAAGTATCATGAATTTGTAAACTAGTCTAGTAACTGCTAATCTCAGAATGGAATTCACCATGTAATACATATGTAATCCTGTGTGCTGGACACTGTGATGTGTGAACTACTTCCTTGTGATGAAACAAGCATTAGATAGTTACTTCCTAGGTGTCAAACATTCTACATACATTATTTTAATTTAATGTAATGTCCTTATGAAATTGATATTTTAAGTAACTTGCCAGGTCCACAGAGCTAATAAGTGAAGGAGGTAGGCTTTAAACCCGTGTTTATTTTTCTAGTTTGTTTGCCTTTCACGAAGCTACAGCATAGATAGCTCTCTCCCATGTGTAATTTTAAATTTTCCAGTGGCTTCATTAAAAAAACATAAGTGTAATTCATGCTGATAATACATTTTATTTAAACCAGTATATCCAAAATATTATCATTTCTACATGTAATCAGTATAAAATTACTAATGAGATATTTTACATGATTTTGCTTATACTAAGTTTCAAAATCCAGTACACTTTTGTTTCAGTTCGGTTCAGATTAGCCACAAGTGCCCAATCGCCACATCTGGTCAGTGACCCCTGTATTGGACAGTGCAGGGCTAGGGGAACAGTTGTCTAACAACAGCTCTAATGCTGCATTTCCATGAGAGAAGCGGAGTGTAACACTAGGGAAGTGTTTGCTCAGAAATATTGTGTAAATAGTGTCTCAATAAAGTAGATAAAAGCCAAATTTATGCCAGCCCCTCTTCATAAGCCAGCCATGTAAATTAGAAAGGGTGCATAGCCAAGAATAAGAGAACGTATTTCTATGACAGTCTTTTCTAGAATATGCCCACTTTGCTCTTAACGGAGAAAACACCAGATGTTCCGGGGGCACATGAAAGGAATAAGGTACACAGTGAGTGGGAGAGATTGGGGAGGAGAAGAGGCGTTCATGCGGCAACTTGAAGGGGGGGGAAGGCAGTAGCAGCTCGCTGGGCGTGTGGGAGAGCAGGAGGGCGTTGGGAGAAGGAAGCGTTTCAGGCAGAAGACGAAGCCAGTGCAAACATCATAAGGCAAGAGGGAGAACAACATGAACTGAAAAGAAAATCGCAGACATTTCCTTCATAAACACAGACGCAAAAATCTTAAACCACCAGCCAAGCAATTTCAAAGTGTGCATCATGATCAAGTGTGGCTGATCTTGGAATGCAATGACTTTACTACCAGCAAATTGAGCCAATGATTCTCATATTAAAAGAGTAAAGGAAGAAAATCACATATTTATCTCTACAGATGCAGGGAAAGTATTGAGTTCAGCATTTATTTATGATTTTTATAAAACTCTTAGCAAACTCAGAAGGAAATCTTCTTAACTTGATTATTACACTCTAGAGAACTGTTCGACTCATTCCCTCTAAGGTCAGGCACAAAGCAAGCAGCCCACTACTGTTACTGTTTAAGATCAGCTAATTGCAAGTCATAGGCAAAACTGTGGGAAAGGAAAATAAGTACTGGGGAGAGGAGAACCTGTTCAGTAAATGGTGCTGGGAAAACTGGCTGACCACATGCAGAAGGTTGAAACAAGATCCCTGCCTATCCCCATACACAAAGATCAGCTCTAAATGGATCAAAGACCTAAATGTAAGACCTCAAACTATAAGAACCTTAGAAAATGCAGGAGATACCCTGATGGAAATTGGAACTGGCAACCAGTTCCTGATCAAAACCGCAAGCGCCCATGCCATAAGAGAAAAGATAGACAAGTGGGACCTCTTCAAACTGACAAGCTTCTGCAAAGCCAAAGAAACCATCAGGAGAGCAGGGAGACAGCCCCAAGACTGGGAAAAAATATTTGCCAACTGTATGTCCGACAAAAGCCTAACATCTGGGATCTACAGAGAACTCAAACGTGCCTAAAAGAAAAAAAAACCAGTTCCATTACAAAGTGGGCAAAAGATACGAATAGACAGTTCTCAAAAGAAGACACACAAGCCGCCAACAAATACATGAAAAAATGTTCAGCCTTACTAGTCATAAAAGAAATGCAAATTAAAACTACACTGAGGTACCACCTAACTCCAGTCAGGATGGTCATCATCAATAACTCAAAAACAACAGATGCTGGAGAGGATGCAGCGAAAAGGGAACACTTCTACACTGTTGGTGGGAGCATAAACTAGTGCAGCCACTGTGGAAACAGTGTGGTGATTCCATACGACCCTATGGGAAATATACCCGGAAGAACTCAGATGACTCTATAAAATAGATACCTGCACACGTGTGTTTATGGCAGCATTTTTCACAGTAGCAAGAACATGGAACCGACCATGCTGCCCATCAAAAGAGACTGGATTAAAAAAATGTGGTGCATATACGTGATGGAATGTTAGGCAGCCATAAAGAAGAACAAAATCATGAACTTCACTGCAGCCTGGATGGACTTAGAGTCTATAATACTGAGCGGTCTTTCACAGAAACAAAGAACTGAGTATCACATGCTCTCACTCATGGGCAGACCTGGAAGGATTAACGTCACAGTACAAGAGAATGATGGGCAGTGGCGGGAGACTGCTGGGAGGGGAGTGGGGAAGTGGGATTCGCCGAGTGGGAATCTGCCTGGGGAGGGGGGACACGCCTCATCAACAAGGGGGCACCTGCATCATGGACATTTGCATGCCTAACCCTGACTTGCACCCCCACATCTTTAAAATAAAAAATTAAAAGAAAAAAGTCAACAAAAATACCATGAACAAAAAAAGAAAATAAAAATAAGTAATAGGTGTGCGAAGTGGTAGGGAAGAGATAATACTGCCGTTTTTTTGCCAACAACATCGGCATAGGCAACCAGCAGCATTACAAACTCTTAGCGTTCGTAAGAGAATTCAAGTTTACCATATACAGAATCATCCTTAAAAATAATTAGCATTTCTCTATCCCTGCCATAATCAACTAGAAATTATAGACAAAGGCCTAACATCTAGGATCTACAAAGAACTCAAATGTGCCAAAAAGAAAAAAAAAACAGCCCCATTACATTTACATAACAACAGAAACGAAATGACACAATCCTCTATGAAGAAAAAAATGTAATTCTATTAAAAGAATCAATGGAGTGACTGTGCTCTTGATTACAGTGCCTTAATATTATTATAATGTTATAAAATTGTTATTTCTCCCTAGAAATAGTTCATCAATTCAGTGCAATCTTACATAGTCCAGATTAGACTGACTGCAGCTACACCTCCAAATGCCAAGGCTCATACAATAAAAGCATGTTTGCTTACATCATTATCCAGTGCAGTCAGCTGGGAGGGAGGGCCCTTCCATTTTGTAGTTCCACTGTCTCTGTCATGTGGCCTCCAAAGTCACCAGTAGGACAAGAAAACATAGACATCGTGCAGGGGGATTTATGGACAAGTTGTTTCTGCAACATCGGGCTGGCTAAGACTCAGTCCCTTGGTCCCAGTGGTACAGCAAGAGAAGCCGTGGTTCCAGGGCTACAGCTGAAACGAATTTGGGAAACAGCGTTGTCTCTACCACATATCCACTTTTTGATTGACGTTTCCAAGGAAGTGAATAAACTTACTCTACAATATGTAAGGGAAAAGAGAGACCCGTCTTGTATGTGTTCTTATAAGGCCTTGCTCTTACAAGAAGCACACAGAACTAAAGCTGTGACCCAGGCTCGCCCAGCATAACTTCTGATTAAAGTTCTCAGCCTCTCACCCTAGTTCCATGAGAGATGACATGATGTACCCTCTCTCAGAAAAAAATACATACTTACTTCAGTCTCTAGAGTTATTTTAAAAACAATATTCAGAGCTGGGCATGGTGGTATGTGCCTGTAGTCTCAGGCATATTTTGGGGGCTGAGGCAAAAGGACTGCTTGAGCCCCAGAGTTCGAATCCAGCCTGGGCAATGTAGCAAGACCCCATCTCCAAACAAACAAACAAACAAACTAGTCGGTATACAACCAAAAAGGAAATATATATATGCAGAAAAATATGGCCTCAGTCAGGAAGAAAAAATAACGCAAGTGTATTGACAGATCACCCAGATGCCTTATCATACAAGGCTTTAAAAATAACTGTTATGGTAATATTAATAAAATTAGAGAAAAAGAAAAAAGTGGAAGATGGATAACTTCGTCAGACAAGTTGAATATCTAAAGAATTGAATGTATACTCTAGATCTAAAAAAATAAAATAGCTGAAATTGAGAATGCATTGGATAGGTTTAACGGCAGACTGGAGGGGTAGAGGATCAATGACCCGAAAAGCAGGTTGTTAGAAATTATCCAAATTGAAGTACAGAGAGAAGAAAAAGGGAAAGAGAGAGAAAATGCTGCCAAAAATTAAATGGTCAAATGTATGTGCTACAGGGTGCCAGAAGAGGAGGAGAGAGATACCGGGGTACAAATGTTGGAAGGGACAATGGCAAAGAGCTCTCTCCAATCAGTGAAAAATGTCAACGACATTCAGAGCTAGCAGCCCCATGCAGGAGCAACCCAAAGAAAACCACGCCCAGGAATGTCGCAATCACATGGCCGAAAACGCTTAAAAGCAGCCAAAGAAAACAGACACCCAGCAGCCCCAGCGGTGCGGCAGGCAGAGTGGCAGCAAACTTCTCAGCAGAAAGGTGAGAGGCAGTGGAAAGACATTCCTACAGTGCTGAGAGACACAGCTTGGGGCTCTGCCATAGAGAAAAGGCCTCGGGCCATTGCAGCAAAAGAAAAGCTGAGACAATTCACGGCCTGCAGGCCTGCACTTCTGCAGACACCAGAGGAAGTCTGGCCGAGGACGACCCTGGGTGGAAACATGGGTCACTGTAAAGGGTGACGGTCTGAGAAACAGACAACACCACTTTAAAAAGTGCTTGAGATGACTGTCTGAGACAAGTGGCAGCGCATTCAGTGTGCACAGACTGTGTGAAACAGGATGTGTGGCCAGAGCAGGACAAAGG